ATCTCTAACCGTCGCCAGAAAATTGCGTTCGTATTCCGTACTCCGTACTTCTCTCTCCTCGTACTCTGTCGTCGAAAATTTTTGTTGTCGGGGTTTTTTTTTTAAAACAAGTTAGAGATTTTTAAGGCCAAATTCAACCATGAAAACTCTAGATCTAGAGTTTTCATGGTCGATGACCTTTTTAGTCATATTTGAAGTTAAATTCGAAGTCATTGCTGATTTTAAAGGTATTTGTTCGATTTAATTTATTTTTTTTAAGGTTTTTAATTAATTTTTTTTTGTTTTGTGTTTTTATTTTTATTTTTTGTTGTGCTGTTGTGGTGGGTTTGGTTGGGTGTGGTTTAGGTATGGTTTGGGTAGGTCTGGTTGGGTGGGGATCTGGTGGTGGGTAGGGTTTTGGTTGTTGTTGTAGTGGGAAAAGGGTAGGGTGGGGAGCTGGGCTGGTGGCGTGGCGTATCGGGGCTGGGGCTAGTGGCATGGGGCAGTGGGTATGGGAGTTGGTGGTGGCGTGGTTGTTAGTGGCGTGGGGCAGTGGGTACGGGAGTGAATGTAAAGCAGCAGGGGTCTGGGTTTTGTGATGAGTGAGGTGTAGCACTAAAAGGAATGGTGTCCTTTGAATAAGTGTATTATTTCGACAAAGGGTTCGAAATTCTTAAAAAGCTAATTATTCAGTGAAGTCAAGTGATCGAAATGCCTAGCCGGAGGCTGCTTCCGATCAGTAATATTAATGCATAATTAATATTACAGCATAATCTTGACTGAACCCTTCGGGTGACACCCAATCGAGTAACCGAACCAAAACGACGAATTAATCCGAAGGATTAAATGAGTCATTAGAGTATTACGAACAAAGACGTCAGATGTCAAGCTTAGAGCGGCGTATGTCGAGTCGAATTTAGGATTCGAAAAGACGAGAAAATAAGTCAAACAACAAGTCAAGGCATACGGTCTTAGCATCGCATCGGCCCAGCCGAGAGCACAAGGCAGCCACCGAAGGCCGGGCCTTGGTGCTCAAGGCAAATAGCCCAGCCAAAGGGCCAACAATACCACATGGCATGCCTTGAGGCCCAAGGCTTGGGTGTGCCATGCACATGGAGTTGGTGGGTGTATGCTTGCTCTCCAAGGATGGGTTTGTGGTTCCTTACCTATTCCCTCCCTCATGTTGACACTTGTCATTTGACTATTGCATAGATAATTTAATTTAATTTGGAATTAAATTAATTGCTTACTTTTCTCACTCTATCATTTCTCCCACATGGAAAGATGATTGAAGTTTTTGGGAGCCTTTGCCTATAAATACCAACTTTAGGAGTTAGGATTATTCACTTGAGTTGAACTCAATAAGGCATCTCCCAATAGGTGACAAACCTTTAAGTTCTTAGTACTCTAGTATTATTTTGGTATAGCCCCGACTAAGCTTTGGGGTAGGAGCCGTCCGGGTCGGGTCTCGAGGGTGAGAGCCATTGGAGGCTTGCGCATTTGCGGAGCTTTACGCTTTCAAGTTCGAGCTCTAAAAGGAGCGAAGTACACATCAAGGGTATGATCGTCTTTCTCTATCTCTTTGTTAATTAATTATGTGATTGCTAATTAATATGCATGTTTAGTTGCTTTAATTTGTGTGCAGATATTGGGAGGGTTTCATTCCGCGTAGTGTTGGACACTACGAAACCCAACAAGCAGTTGGTGGTGTGGTGAAGTTTAAAGCTTTGAGGTGGTGTAGGATTAGGGGTTACTAGGTCGGGGTTACTGGTCGGTCAAGGGTTACTGGTCGGTAAGGAGTTACTAGGTTGGAGGGGTTACTGGTCAGTCAGGAGTTACTAGGTTAGAGGGGTTACTAGGTCAGTCAGGGGTTACTAGGTTGGAAGTGTTACTCGGTCAGGGGTTACTTGATCCGTTAGAGGTTATTTGATCGGTCATGGGTTACTCGATCAGGAGTTACTAGCTCAGTCAGAGATTACTTTGTTAGGGATTACTTGTGTGTTAGCCCCTGTGGCCAGCCACACACAAAACCTGTTATTTTATGAATCTATCTAGATCAAAATTAATAGTGGCAGTTAGGTTCTTAATTATTACTACAAAGTATGTATAATTCTATGATTATACAATTGAGTGACATCGATATGATCTAACATACAATAACGCTTTAAAATGATATACTACTTTGTATTACTATACTAATCAATTCATCATGAACACATTTTTCTTTTTTTCGCGTTGTAGCAATTACTAATACTCATATTTCAATGCACAACACCTTAGTGAATGAGTAGTTGAAGAAGATCGATAAAAAGATATGCAATTTATGCGTATACCAACTCGGAATCTGTTTTTGTACTAGCACCCTAGGCACAAGGAGTAATTTCTCAATAATAATCAATAACTATCATAATTTTATAATGGTCCAACTATTTGAAAGTTTGAAGTTCAGTACCCATTAATTTCACTCAAACAACCTTGCACGGCACTTCATTCATGTTTAAATTTAAGTTGCCTTAAATTTGTACTAATTTAGCATAATGGTCTCTTACATATTTTTTAATTCTTAATCTCTGTCTTAAATTAATTTATGAAATATCATATATATTTTTCAGATCAAACCTACATATATATTTAGAGGTGTAAAATCGGGCACCCAGATAGAGTTCGGGTCGACCCACATTGGGTTGGGATGTTTGGGTCGGATAATGATGGGTCATTTTAACCTATTAGACTAAATCAAATCGGGTTGAGTTTAACTAAAATTGGGTCAAATTTGGGTCAAGTATGATCGGGTACAAATCGAATTTGGGTCAAGTCAAATTTGATTCAAATGAACTCGGATCCGGATTTTATCAAATTTATTTGGGTCAAAATGGATTTATTAGACTTTGGATCAGATCATTTTGGATTTGATTAAATCTCGGTTCATACCAATTTAGTTTTGGTTAAAGTTTGAGCTTGGTTACTTCAGTTATTAGCTCATTCTTAGTTAGAATTATTTTAGTTTTGACTTCTGGGTTGTGTAATTCGAATTGGGGTCAATTTCAATTCGAGTCATTTTGGTTTCACCTATAGCATATCAGTCATGTCATTTTTGTTATTGAAGTACTTTGTATCATTTTTTGGGTTTCATTTAAGTTTTTTGTTGGTTTATCAAAATTAGCATAAGATTGACAGCTCAAGTCATTAAAGAAAATGATTGCGTATTGCCTTATTGGCCTGGGTGATTATCACGTCATTGTAAAATGTCTTTTTATTAGAGTTTTGCGTTTATCGTTTTAGCGACTATATATTTATCAACATCATTCATTAATTGGCAACTTGATATGTGTTAATAATAGTTTGGGTTTAATTAGACCATAAGTAGTTTCGGGTTGGGTTTAATTGGTTTTTGGGTAAATAAAGGTCGGATAAAAAGAGGTATTTTTCGGGTGTAAATGATTTCGGGTAATTTCTGTTTCGGGCTAGGTTGATTTCAGATCTTGAATTATCGGTTCTGATTGTTTTTGGATTAAATATGAGTCGACTCCAAGTTGGGTTTGGATCATACATTATCAGGTGAACTCGGTTTCAAGTTAACTCCGGGTTGACTCCAAACAAAATTCGGATAAAAAAAATTCTAGTTCAACCGGTTTGAAAACAGTTCGTTTCAGGTAAACCTTTCGGTTCGGGTAAGTTTTTGACATCTTTATATATATATTGAGGTGTTAAATGAAAATAGAATGTCTTCTTTTGCTTGTAAGCATAATGTCAAGTATGTATTTTAAGAGATAATTTTAGAAGGTAACGATAACATTATCAAAAAAAAATAATAATAAAATAAAATAAATTACACCGGAAATAAAATAAGATCATGTACTGTGTAACTATGTATTAATTATTTTTATTAATTCATCTATTTACATCATCTAATCTCTTTCTCAAATTATATGTCATGAGACTCTGACTGTGGTGCGAGTAAAGAAACAGGGTAACTATTCTACATGCTGTTGAACTAAACTACTAAAGCATAGCTGAAGACTTGACTTGACGAGCTTAAAAAATTTCACAAAAAAACACTTACAGTAAAATATGACTTTCATGACAACTTGACAAGAAGTTGTCTTTTGGTTTTTCTATTCTACGTAGTACGAAGTATAAGTTTTACTATGCAAATATCTGGATCCAATGCATTGGAGTTTCTTAACTTGATGATTATAGTCTCACGGATTAGATATATAATCGTACTTTATATTAGAGTATTAGACTAATTAATCACTAATTAGCATACCTCAATACTAGGGGTAAGAAAGAAGTGTTTTATTTATTTATTTATTATTATTATTAATTTTTTTTTAATGGGTTGTGTGATACATTTCACTCCATGTCTTTGACCATAAATATATTTAAATTATAACTTGAAACAACGTGATAAAAGCACACATGATGTATATTTTCTTATACAGTAGACAAGCTATAAAATATAAATAGAATTTTTAAACTTTGACTACATGATGAATTGTATTTGGGAAGGGAAAAAAAAAAAAATTAAAGGAGTATGATCTATGATACAAAAAAATTAAATATATACATGATATATAAACAAACACATAATACTCCCTTTTTTTTTTTTAAGTGCCCCGCTTTTTAAAAATGGCCCTTTACAAAAAGTTAGAGCTGTCATGTGCATCGAGTAGGTCAAAAGGTTAAGTCCATATAGTATACTAGGTTAAGTCCCATGCCATGAAAGGTAATTTGACCAAAAAACGTATATGGAGTATCATTTTCTTCTTTCTAACCAAATAAATATCTTGAAACTATGTATTTAACTTGTAAATAAATTTCTTTTTTACACACTATTAATTCACTCTCTCTTATACGCAATAATTTTTTCTTAATAGTCAACATATATCTTTCATGGCAAGCTTCATAATTAGATAAAATAATCTAAAAATAAATAAATTCTTGTTGAATAGTGTATAATACACTATATGTTACAAATTATGTTAAGAATCAGAATTTTTTTTTTTTTTTTTTTTTTTTTTTTTGCTTGAGTTTATAGTATCACTATATATATTATGGAATAGTACATCAAACTACATAAACTCCCCTCTCCCGGCAATGGAGATGAAAAAGATACTTGTAACAGGTTCATCAGGTTTCTTAGGTGGTAAACTCTGCCACGCCTTACTCAACCATGGCTACTCAGTCCGAGGTTTTGACCGCCAAACCACCAACCTCTCTTCCCTCCACGCTGCCCACTTCGAATTCTACTTTGGCGACATTACTGACTTCTCCTCCCTACTCGCTGCCGTCTCCGGTTGTGACTTAGTAATCCACTCCGCCGCACTCGTCGAGCCTTGGCTTCCTGATCCTTCTCGTTTCTTCACCGTACGTACTTAAACCCATCTTTTTTTACAATTTAACTCTATTAAGCTATACTTGTTTTGTTGATTATTATTGGAAAACGCCCCTAAAAGTAGGATTATTAGAAAATAATGGATTATTGGGATTAATAAAAGTAAATGATTCAAAATTGGGATTAATATTATCAATTTTTCCTTATTATTATTGTTATAACTAATGTAAGAAAGATTATTAGAGAAATTAACAAATAAGAACACATATTTTACATGGTTTAGTAACAATGATTGGCCGGTTTGTGAGACCCATGGTAGTCGTTAATAGATTTAAGACATATTCTAATGCATATTTTTAGGGAGTAATATTTTTAAAGGTTGACTTTTAATAGATATTTGGTTGCAGGTTAATGTCGGTGGATTGAAGAACGTGATTCAAGCTTGTAAAGAAAGTAACTCGATACAGAAGATCGTCTATACGTCGTCGTTTTTTGCTCTTGGACCTACTGATGGTGGTGTCATTGCTGACGAGAATCAGGTGAATGAAATGAAAGTACAATTTACGCATATTTAGTGATAATGTTATATGTTAGGTGCAAGTGTGAGTAGTGTTTGTCCTACATTAAAAAAGAAAGCAAAGGTCTTTCAATTTATAACCCAAGCGGGCTACTCCTTCTATTGTCAATTGGTTTTAGGATGGAAGTGGTGGACTCTGATTTGTGGGTTTCTAGGTTTCTCTCCGTCGTGTTCTCCCCCATTTGTTATAACAAATTGGTATTAGAGCCATGTTTGATCTAGTCGCACCATCTGATGTGGGCATTGTCTATACACTTGAGGGGAAGATTGTTAGGCGTATGTGTGAGTAGTGTTTGTCCCACATTATAAGCTCACACTTGAGGGGGAGATTGTTAATAAGGTGCAAGTGTGAGTAGTGTTTGTCCCACATTTAAAAAAAGAAAGCAAAAGTCTTTCAATTTATAACCCAAGCGGGCTACTCCTCCTATTGCCAATTGATTTTAGGATGGAACCTCGTTTTGGGTTGTGGTTTGTGGGCTTCTGGGTTTCTTTCCCTTGTGTTCTCCCCCATCTGTTGTAACAAACTGGTATACGAGCTAGGTTTGATCTAGTCGCACCATCTGATAGGGGCATAGTCTGTATTAGATCTTATGGCGTTAAGGATCATCTGTGACTAACGCCTCACCTTAGAGCCGGGCTCTTTAGGTTCTGAGTGCGAATCTGTTCAAGGAAGAGTGTATAGGCTCACACTTGACGTACAAACTTTTACCTACACCCCATAGTAGGGGGCACTACCTGCACTCCCCACCCTCCGCGCGTGCCTCGCTCCTTCCCCTTTTCATCTATGAATTTCCTGTAAATTTTTACAATATGTTCATTTCTTTATTGATAAATGTTCATTTTTGTATCATAAGTTGTTCATTTTTTTAACAATGAGTATTCTGTTCAAATTAATATATTTTCTTAGTTGTATTTTTAGAAATTTTTATAAAATAACAATGAGAGCAAATTTATTTATAAGGATTATTGCATTCAAGTCATTTTTATTATAAGAAGTATTGCATCATCAAACATTAATTTTTTATTTATTCATGTTTCAATAAATGTTCATTTTTGTATCATCAAATGTCCATTTCAAGAGCTTTGTATAAGTAAAAGAGTAAAATGTATGCAAATACATACGTCTTATAATTCAATTCATTTAAATAACACGTTGTTTAAAAAATATTTCAATATGAAAAAAATTTAATTTAATTACAATAATGACACATTTCTATATATTGTTACATGTAATCGTTTCATAAACATGAAAGTGAATTCTTAAATTCTGAATCTACATATATGTCTTGCTAAATGAACATTATTTAATACATTTGGTATAATAAAGTGTGTATAGATATATGCTCCTTGTTGCACCTCTAATCATATGATATTTGTGTGTTATCCTTGAAAAATATAATTTGAGCAAAATATATATGTCGCCTTCAACTTCCTTACTTGATTATCCTGTATATATAATAAGAAATCAATATTTTCAAAAAAAATAAAATAATAATAATAACAATCATGAGCACATTACAAATAAAAGTACCTGAAATCTAAGGATTCAAATTTAAACATTTACACATGAATAACAATTACATAATAAAAAATGAAAACACTATAGATTAATAAAAATATTTCAATATGATAATGAAAAAGTATAAAATCTAAATAAACATTTGTTAATATATAAATGAACATGCATTAAATTCTAAATGAACATTTATCAATATGAAAAAGAACATATATCAAAATCAAAATGAACATTTGTTGATGTGTAAATAATGACCATTAATTAGTAATCCAACAAGTCAAAATACAACTTAATATGTATTGATATTATATGTGAATAAAATACTATAAGATTATATTATATTTAAAAATAGAATCATCAAAGTGCTACGATAAATGAACAATATGTGATTTGTTTTTGAACATTTTCTAATATGTGAATAAACATACATAAATATATGTGTGAATACATATATCCAATGAACATCTATGTATTAATATTCAAATAAACATCTATCAATATCAGAGTTAAATTATATGTAGTATAATATTCAAATGACGATCATGAGCATATATTATTATGAGGATGAACATGTATTATCTTAGTCTATGTGAATATCTCCGATATAAGAATGAACATGTACGTATTTAAATTTAGATGACCATTTTGTTTAAATCCTAGTATGCATTCATTAATATGTGAATGATTATTTTTTTTAAAGGAAAAGGTATATAGAACTAAGGTAGTCTTTTCTCAAAGACTGAACCTTTGTTGATCTAAGGTAAGAACGTAAATGATCATATACTAATACTTTAATGAACATATATTAAAATGAAAATGAATATTTATCGAAAAGTCATTTCGACTATAAACTAATTTAAATCTAAGTAATTCTACGAAAACTTAGCTAATTAGCACAATTATATACACTATATTCAATTTTCAGTGGCGAATAATTAAGAAATCGGTTCCACACAAAATATATGGAGCATCTACAAATACAAATTCATACCGAAATTCGTTGAATCTACTGAAAAAAAATAAATTAAAGATGCATATAGAAATGAACCTTTTATAAAATTCTAATCATCATCTACTAACATGTTAATGATAAAATATTAGTATCATAAATGATCATATATCAAAATGTGAATGAACATCTATCATAAGGATAGCGAACATCTATCAAAAGAAAAATTAAATTCTTAGTAATCCTACGAAATAACTCAATTGATCCAGAAAATTACAATAGTTTACATAAATTTCAACTTTTTGAGTCCAATAATTTTATAATTTAAGAACATACCATGAATCATTTCAACACAAAACTAGAGAATTCAAAACTCTAACATAATCCAACCATAATTATATTACTTTCAAAAAAAAAAATCATAAAATCACAAACTCTTACCAATATTTTATAGATCTAGAGAAACAAAAAAGGCAAATTTTACGACTGCAATATTTCCGGCGATATGATTCCGGCGTCAAATGTGAGAAGATTTCGGTTACGTTGATAACAATGGCGAATTACAATCGGTTTGAAATTTTTTTGAAGTAGCACAAGAAGTATATGACTGATTGAGGAGAAAGAAACTAAGGAATTGTGGTCGCTGGAAGTTTAGAGAGAGAAAATAAGAATTGTGGATTTGAAGAGAGAGAATAAAGATGATGAAGGAAGTTTATGAAATGAAAAAATTTGGTATATATATTTATGGTAGGGGTATAGGTAGTACTACCTACACTAATGTGTACGTATTAGTAATTACATTTGAGGGGGAGATTGTTAGGTGCAAGGGTGAGTAGTGTTTGTCCTACATTGAAAAAGAAAACAAAAGTCTTTCAAATTATAACCCAAATGGGCTATTTTTCCTATTGCCAATTGGTTTTATGATGTAACTTCATTGTGGGCTCTGATTTGAGGGCTTCTGGGTTTCTCTCCCTTGTGTTCTCCCCCATCTGTTATAATATTGTATTATAAAAGTTATGCAAAGTTAGAACGGGTCATTCGGGTCAGTTTATTCGCGTCGGATCATCGGGTATGGGCCAGGGTTGTCAGGTCAATGCAAAGTCGAAATAATTGTATAAAACATTGTCTACATAGTTATAGTTCTAGTTTTTGAACTGGATGATGTTTCTTTTATAAAATCTGACTTAAGAAGCAAAACACCTCCTCCGTTTCTTAAATAATTGTCATAAATAGTTTGGGTACACAAATCAAAGATGAATGTAGAATAGACTTATTATGTTATGCTACCAATTTAGTGTTTTAAAAAAGTTCACTCTTATGATGAAAATTATGATGGGTATATTGAAAAGTTTGGTAATCTTGGGTCTTAACCGAAATTATTGAAACTGTTGATTTATTTTATAGGTACACCATGAGAAGTTCTTTTGTACGGAGTATGAGAGGTCGAAAGTTGCAGCTGATAAGATAGCATTACAGGCTGCATCAGAGGGGGTTCCCATTGTGGCGGTCTATCCAGGAGTTATGTATGGTTCTGGCAAGCTTACGACTGGAAATATTGTAGCTAAATTGGTGAGTGAGGATGTTAAAGATAGTGAAATGATAAAATCTTTACACGTGATTAAATTTTGGGTATCACTTCATCATTAGATATTTGTTTTTGCTAACGCGTCATTGATTATCTTAAGGTCATATCAGATAATAAGTACTAGGAAGAGTAGGAACACGTAAAATAGGTTCTTGTAATATAGGAAGAGTACAGTCATATAGTATGTCTGAAAATTCTTCCTCGTTTTCTATTGTGAAAAATTTAGGGGGAAAGAGATATAAGATAGAAAACAATCTTCCTAAAAAATATATTACGATATATTTGTTAAATAACATCTTTAACAAAAATAAACCTAAATATATTTGCTAAATAATTTAGGGTAAAAGTTTGTGATTCTCAGCAACTTTTGTGTGTGGCTGGCTACACCGTGTGTCCAGCTAACACAAAAGTAATCCATGACCAAACGAGTAATCCCTGATCGACCGAGTAATCTAGACTGACCTAGTAACCTCTGACTGACCGACTAACCCCTGACCGACCTAGCCCCTGACCGACCAATAACCTCTAACCAAGTAATCTCTGAACGACCTAGTAACCCTGACCAAGTAACCCCTACTGACTGAGTAAACCCTTTTCTTCGAGCTTGAACAAAATCTTGAAGAACAGTGTCAGAATCTGAAAGAGGAAACTAAGGGATTGGTTCCGGAATTTGTGAGGAAATTAGATAATTCATCAATTCGGCTGAGAAATTACAAAATTTAACAATTTGAGTGAGAAAATCTAGGTTGAAATTAAGGGGATGATTAGAGGAGAGATAATACCTGCGAATAGTTTCGACCTCCATTATTATGTGACAAAGAAGACGAAGACAAAGACAACGGCGGAGGTCAGCGATTTGGGTTGGTTTGGCTGGCGATTTATGCGACAAAGAAGGCGAAGACGAAGACGACAACGGAGGCCGGCAATTTCTGGTTGGTTTGGCGACATTTGGGTTGATTTGGCCGGCGATTTTTGCGATAAAGAAGGGGAAGATGAAGACGATGGTGGAAGTGGTGGTAGTGGTGGAAGTGGTGGAGGTTGGGGTTGGAAGGTGGAAAAAAATAAATAAATAATTGTGGCAGACCACACGGTCTGGCCAGCCACATATGAAAGTTTGTAATTCTCTTAATAGGATCAATACGGAAAATATATCACACATATATTTTCCAATAATATTAATTATCTCATATTTCTAACACATTGGCAGATTTGTAAGGAGTCATGGTAATGATGTGAATCAAGAGGCTAATTCTTTTGAAGGGTCCAAGACACTTTTAGAAGGTCCAAATAGCTTCATTATGGGCTGCCTAAACAAAGAAATAAACAAGGAAAGGTCCACTAGTTCAATAGGGAAAGAAGGAAGCATGATTTGCAAAGAAAAAGAAATGGAGCAGTTCACTTCCAGCGAGGAGCACGGTGGCCACGCGCCTAGATGGGGCCCACGCGCCGGCTTCCCGGCACCGGATTGAGCCTAGCTACACGCTGATGTGGCGCGTGTCACCTTGGGTGGCGCGTGTGGTGGTGTGGTGGCGACAATATGAAAAGAATGATTTTTTATCCTTAGTTGTTTCTAGAGTTTTTCTTGGAAGTTTTTACCTTTCACTTGGAAGGGTTTTTCTTGGTTTAAGCACTTAGGATACGATTAAGTTTCTGTTATTTAGTTGCTACAAACTTCCTAAGGTTATTAGGAAAGTTATTAGTTAATTAGAGTTTGATTAGGATAAGTTTTCCTATTCTAGTTAGAAGTAGTAATTCTATTCTAGTTAGGATATTTGGAGAACAAGGTTAGGGGTTTGTCCTAATCCTTGTAGGAGTAGAATTAGTTGCCTCCTATGTCTATATATAGGGGTAATTTTCGTGGCTTTAGATAGATAAGAAAATCAGATTAATTTCAATACAAATTGTTTAACTTTGTTTAAATTTTTCTTTGCTAGTTTTCAATTCAAGGAGTTATTTTGATAATTAGAACGTTCAATTCTTAGTTCTAGGAGTAGTCTAAGTTTTGTTTATCAAAATACTCAGTTCCAGGAGTGGTCTAGGTAGTTTGAATAGGCATTGAATTCGTTCCAGGAGTGGTCATTTTCAAAGTCATATCCGGTTTGTTGTTCTTAAATTATTTGGTTTTCTTAGGAAATTCGGAAGGCTTGTGTTACTTGTGTGATTTTAGATTCTTTATTAAGTTAAGGGGTTTAAATCCAAATCAAATTAGTATCAGATTTCAGGGGGTTTTGATCTTTTTATAGCTCGTTCAAATCGTACTTGTTCTCGGAAAATCAGTTTTTTCTGTCAACTTCAGAAGGCTCGTTCTCCTTCGTTACGAGGTCTTTTCAATGATTTTTTTTTGAATTTGGGTGAAATTTTGTCTACTTTCTTCCTGTAGAATGTTATAATTTTTCGAGTTCTTTTGCTATTAAACTGAACTATTTTCCGTAACTGTGTCAGTTTTGGTTCGATTTGATACTTATTGCTCTTTGTGTGCGATTTTGTTCCAAGTTGTGCTGTGATTTTCGTTGGTTTTTCCTGTGCGTTTTGGGGTCTTTTAATTCTCTTTATTTCACATAATTATGGAGGAAGTTATAAAAAAATTCGCGGATGATTTCGCAAGGTTACAAGATAGTACGGAAGGATGTTTTAATGCATTCTCACGATTATTGCTTGATAACAAGAAAAAGAAGAAATAACATGATGATAGTGATAGTGATGCTTCTAGTAGTGATGATGATAATAATAATAATAATAATAATAAGCATAAGGTCAATGATAGAGGTATCAAGCTTGATGATTTTACGGGTCTAGGAACCCTTGAAGATTTTCTTGAGTGGGCGAGACAATTAGAGAAAATTCAGATTATAAGGGTTTTGATGATACTAAACGTTTCAAAATTTATTATATTCAACTCACAAAGAATGCAGAACTTTGGTTCGATAATTTAAAGGCTCGATGTGCTAGAGCAAGGAAGGATAAGATCAAGACATGGACGGTTTTGAAGAAGAAGATGCGTTCTAAATACCTTTCGCATGATTTCGAACAAATCCTATACGTGAAACTTACTATGTTGTCACAAGATACTAAGAGTGTTAATGAATATATTGCTGAATTTGATAAACTAACCTCTCTTTGTGATTTTGAGGAGAAAGAACCATTGCGGAGTGCTCGATTCCTAGGGTTTTAATCGGCCTATTGCTTAGAAGATTGAATTGAGTACTTATATGAGTCATTCAATGACGTATGCAAGCTAGCTTTGAAGATTGAAAGTCATTGGCTCGAGGATAAGAAAAAAACCGAGGCAAATAAAGTTTTTTGAAGCCTTTCAAGTCTAGTTCCACAAATTTTTCTAATGAGCACAAGGGAGAGAGTTCGACGAGTGGAGAAAAGAAGGTTGTCAAGGTGTCGAAAGAAGAATTTGAAAGTCGAATTAGGTGCTTCAAGTGTCAAGGAAAGGGACATAGGTCGGATCAATGCCCTATAAAGAAAGCTCTTACAATCAAGCAATATCGACAAATGGAAGAAGAAGAGGAAAACATAACCTTTGAGTGTGAAGAGGAGTCGATTCACAATAAAGAGGAAAATGTTGTTGAAACGGAAGAAGAGGAAGAGGATGCCTATGCCAAAGACGAAGACAATCTGCTTGTTTTAAGGAAGATATTACATAACAAATTCAATTCTAATCAAGATCAACGCGATAATTTGTTCCATACTCAATGCAAAGTTGGTGAAAATACTTGCAATGTGATCATTGATAGTGGCTCTTGCACGAATGTTGCTTCAACTTGTATGGTGAGTAAACTAAACCTCTCTATTCGTGATCATGCAAAACCATATAAAGTAAATTGGCTTGATAATTCAAAGGGTTTTCAAATTAAGAAGCAAGCACTAGTAAATTTCTCCATAGGAAATTACAAAGATGAAATATGGTGTGATGTGATTCCAATGGATGCTTGTCACTTACTTTTGGGAAGACCATGGCAATTTGATCGAAAAGTTAAACATGATGGCAAGGCCAATGTGTATTCCGTGAAGGTTGGAAACAAACGTTTTAGTCTACATCCTTTGTCTCAGAAAGGACATAGTAAGTGCTCAAATGTTAATCGAAGTTCAAGTTTGTTTCTAAGGGAAAAAGTGTTCAAGGAAGAGATCGATAGAGGACCCAAGGCATGTCTTCTTGTGAAAGAAGATGACAATTATGAAGATGGTGAGTACCAAGAATACTTGTCTAGTGAAAGTGGTGATGAAGATTCTACATATAACATTGAAAACCTCTTTACTTGTTTTGATGATGTGAATTTGAGGGAAAATTCTTTTGAAGAAGGGGAAAATAACGTGAATTAAGAGGCTAATTCTTTTGAAGGGTCTAAGACACTTTTAGAAGGTCCAAAAAGCTTCATTATGGGCTGCCCAAACAAAGAAATAAACAAGGAAAGGTTTACTAGTTCAATAGGAAAAGAAGGAAGCATGATTTGCAAAGAAGAAGAAATGGAGCAGTTCACTTCCGGCGAGGAGCACGGTGGCCACACGCCGGCTTCCCGGCACCGGATTGAGCCCAGCTACACGCTGGTGTGGCGCGTGTCACCTTGGGTGCCGTGTGTGGTGGTGTGGTAGCGGCGATATTAAAAGAATGATTTTTTTATCCTTTTCACTACAAAAAAATAGACATTTAGCAACAGATCAAATCCGTTGCTAGATTGTACTTTTCTGTCGCTAAATATAGGTAGCGACAGATTTTGAAACGGAATTACTCCGTTGGTAAAACTGTTGACGCTAAATGAGACTAGCGATGTTGTATCTGTTTTCCGTTGCTGAACTTAGCAACAGATTTTTAATTCCGTCGCTAGTTTTAGCAACGGATTTTTATTTCCGTCGCTGGTTTTACCAACAGATTTTTATTTCCGTCGCTTGTTTTAGCAACGGATTTGTATTTCCGTCGCTGGTTTTAGCAACGGAAAAAAACATCCGTCTCTAAATTTAGCAACGGAAAAAAAAAATCCGTCTCTAAATTTAGCAACGGAAAAATTATTTTGAGTCTATAAGTAGATGTTATTCGGTTTGACCTCACTCGGGTCAACCCGACTCGTCTTTGCATGTAAGGCTCCTTGAATCCCCAATCTCAAGAATCGCAATAGGTAGGAATCGAACCCGTGACCTCATAGTCACTTAGTGAAACTCTTACCAACTATACCAAATATTATTTGTTTACTTCTATGCACATAATTGATAATAAGTGAAAGAAAAATTAGAGACGGAATTTAAAATCCG